GGGGGGGGCGCCGCCCCTCACGGCCCCCCCGCCCGCCTCAGCCGGGGGCGGCGGCGCCGAGGCTCACCCGGTGCGCGCGGGTCAGGCTCAGGTCCTTCATGACCTCCTCGAAGGCCGCCGTCTCCTCCGCCTGCTTCTGGTTGTGCAGCGCGATCTTCTCGCTGAATTTCCGCGGGTTGTTCGAGGCCGCCATCTTCCCCCGTCCGCATCCCCCTCCCCGCGGCCGAGGGGGAGCCGCGCGCATGCGCCGGCCCAGGGAGGTGTGGGGGGGGCGGCCGCCCTGGTCCTGTTTCCATCCTCATCCTGGTCCTGGTCCTGGTCCTGGTCCCGATCCTGTCCCGATCCAGATCCCGGACCCGACCCTATCCCCATCCCGGTCCTGGTCCCGATCCTGGTACCGATCCTGTCCCAGTCCTGTCCTGGTCCTGTCCTGGTCCTGTCCCCATCCCGGACCCGATCCTGGTCCCGATCCTGGTCCTGTCCCAGTTCTGGTCCTGTCCCCATTCCTGTTCTGCTTCTGTCCCCATCCTCGTTCCTGTCCCCGATCCTAATTTCTGTTCCCATCCCCATTCCTGTCCCCATCCCTATCTCCATCCCTGCCCCTCTCCTCGTCCCTGTGCCCTTCTCAGTCCCATCCCTGTCCCCATCCCTGTCCCGTCGCTGTCCCAGCCTGTCCCCTTCTCAGTCCCATCCCTGTCCCCGCCTGTCCCCGCCCCAGAGCCACCTCAGCCCCATCTCTCAGCGTTCCCCACCCGGTCCCGCGGTGATCCGGCTGATGGATGGCTCAGGGCTCATCCCAGGCTCGGGATCAGCCACAAAGTCACGTCCTGCCCCAAATGCTGGCTGCCAGCTTGCACTTAACGTTTCCAGCAGGGCTGATACCATCTCGGGAAGCTCTTCCAGGCCTGGCAGGACCAGCCCTCCCTCCCTCCTGGCAGATGTGCTCCCCTCCTGGCCTTCCCCAGCAGGAATAAACACCATTTTCCCTCAAATCCCCTCTGGCTGTGTGCACGAGCAGCCCTGGCCTGCAAGATGGGCCTGGCATGCTAAAAGCACATCAATCACCGAGATTTTCCGGGGAGATACTGAGTGTGCACATTGTTTTCACTCGGGAGCGGGACAGTGATAAACAATGGGAGCAGTTGTCCTGGATTTCATCCCGGAGGAAGGTGCTGATATCGACCATCTCCAGCCCCAGCTGCCACTCGGCTCCCTCCAGTGAAGTGCCTGAGATGGAGCTGGATAAATTCTCCCCTTTTGGATCTCCCGAGATGGGATCTGCTCCTGCTCCTGGGAAGGAATGCAGAGGGGGGCAAGGGGAGGGGGCTGCAGCTTCCTCGTGAAAACCTCCCCTCGTTCTCATTGTTTCCCCTTATCAGATGGAATTCCAGAGTGAACCTGGAGCCTGCTTCCTGAGATCCCCACATTTTACCAGGGTTTGCAGCCAAAAATCTCTAATTTGGGGCTGCTGGAACAGGCAGAGCCCCAGTTTGGGGGGGCTCTGGGGGCTGCTGCCCCTGCAGGGAGAGGCTGGGGGGGCAGGTGTCCTCCTGTCCCCAGGAACTGGGAATTGTGGCACTCCTTGGACAGGGCCTGAGCTCCTCCCCGAGGGTCATTTCTGCCTCCTGCCTCACCTCGAGCCTGTCTGGGGCCATCTCTGAGCCCCACCTCACCTGCATGGCCTCATCTCACCTGCATGGCCTCATCTCACCTGTACAGCTCCATCTCACCTGCACAGCTCCATCTCACCTGCACAGCTCCATCTCACCTGTACAGCTCCATCTCACCTGTACAGCTCCATCTCACCTGTACAGCTCCATCTCACCTGTACAGCTCCATCTCACCTGAGCTGAACTGCTCCATCTCACCTGCACAGCTCCATCTCACCTGCACAGCTCCATCTCACCTGTACAGCTCCATCTCACCTGTACAGCTCCATCTCACCTGAGCTGAACTCCCCCTTCTCCCCAGCCCTTCCCCCTCTCCCCAGAAAGCCCCTCAGGGATCCCCACTCCTCCTTCCAGCCGTGTTTGGGAAGAGATTTTGGGAACTGAGCCTCAGGAGCAAAGAAAGAGCCGGGGAATCCTCCCCGGGCAGGTGTGCTGCAGGAGGGGCTGCAGGAGGGGCTGCAGGAGGGGCTGCATGATCTGCTGCAGGAGGAGCTGCAGGATGTGCTGCACGAGGAGCTGCTGCAGGAGCTGCTGCAGGAGCTGCTGCAGTTTCTCCTTTCCTCACCAGGCTCCCCCCAGACCCCCCTGCAGCCCAAGCCCAGCTCCCCCAGGCTCTGCCCGCAGCGTTCCCAGCCCGAGGAGCTGCAGGGCAGCGCTGGGGTTGTGCTGGGATCCTCAGAGCAGCTGGCTGCTCCTCTTTCTTTGCCCCAGACACGGAGATTTTGATCTTTCACACTTCCTACTTAATGTTGCTGTTGACATTCCCATTATCCTCGGAGAAGAATATCCTCAGAGTCCCCAGTTGTTCAAACCGGGCTCCAGGCCGTGCTTGGAGTGGGAAAACATTCTCTTGTTTCACTTGGAACTGCTGGAAATGTCTTTAACTGGAGATGTCCCTGTTTCCAGAGGGCAAATGAAGGCACCTGAAGCACTGTCCCCCCGAGCCCCCAAAGCCCCTGGCACGAAGGCTGGCAGGGCTCCCTGCACCCGGGTTCCCCTGTCACCCTCCCAGCCCTGCTCCCTCACCCTCCCCGGCCAATCCCAAACCACAGAAAGCCAAGCAGGCAGCTGGGAGGAATTCACCCTCCTTTCCACACCTCGGGGCTTCCTGCTGCTGGGGAGGAGGGGGCTGCTCCTGCTCCCTTCTCCAGGGCCGGGGCTTGCCTTTGTTCCTCAGGGATGGAGGAGAATTCCTGGGATGGAGGAGCACTCCTGGGATGGAGGGAAATTCCTGGGATGGAGGAGAATTCCTGGGATGGAGGAGAATTCCTGGGATGGAGGAGAATTCCTGGGATGGAGGAGAATTCCTGGGATGGAGGAGAATTCCTGGGATGGAGGAGAATTCCTGGGATGGAGGAGAATTCCTGGGATGGAGGAGAATTCCTGGGATGGAGGAGAATTCCTGGGATGGAGGAGAATTCCTGGGATGGAGGAGAATTCCTGGGATGGAGGAGAATTCCTGGGATGGAGGAGAATTCCTGGGATGGAGGAGAATTCCTGGGATGGAGGAGAATTCCTGGGATGGAGGAGAATTCCTGGGATGGAGGAGAATTCCTGGGATGGAGGAGAATTCCTGGGATGAGGGAGCACTCCTGGGATGGAGGAGAATTCCTGGGATGAGGGAGAATTCCTGGGATGGAGGAGAATTCCTGGGATGGAGGAGAATTCCTGGGATGGAGGGAAATTCCTGGGATGAGGGAGAATTCCTGGGATGGAGGAGAATTCCTGGGATGAGGGAGCACTCCTGGGATGGAGGAGAATTCCTGGGATGAGGGAGAATTCCTGGGATGAGGGAGAATTCCTGGGATGGAGGAGAATTCCTGGGATGGAGGAGAATTCCTGGGATGCAGGGATCACTCCTGGGATCACTCCTGGGATGCAGGAATTGTTCCTGGGATGCAGGGATCATTCCCGGGATGCAGGGATCACTCCCGGGATGCAGGGATCACTCCCGGGATGCAGAGATAATTCCTGGGATGCAGGGATCACTCCTGGGATCACTCCCGGGATCACTCCCGGGATGCTGAGGTGATGTGGGGAGCTGGGAAAGCAGCAGCCACTCCGAGCCTTCCCCGAGGGCTGGGAGGCAGAGAATTCCCTGTGGGAATTGCCAGAGACTTGGGAGGAGGCACCCGACAGCCCAGGAGGAGAAGGAGCCGCGGGGAGGACGGACAGACACGATTTCCAAGGGAAGGACACAGGGAATGGCTGCCCACGGCCACAGGGCAGGGCTGGGGGGGATTTTGGGGAGGAATTCCTGGCTGGGATGGAATTCCCAGAGCAGCTGGGGCTGCCCTGGGTCCCTGGCAGTGCCAAGGCCAGGCTGGAGCAGCCTGGGGTGGTGGAGGTGTCCCTGCCGTGGCAGGGTGACCCTGGAGGTCCCTTCCACCCCAAACCATTCCACACTCCTGCTCTGCCATCCCTCCCCCGAGCCAGAGCCCCATCTCCACCCTGAAGGAGTTAAAATAAATAAATCAAGGCGTGGAGGAGAACTCAGGGTGGTTTTTTTGCAGTCACGGGTGATTTTTGCAGGAAATCCTGATAAACCAAGCGGGGTTTCCCTCGTTTCAGTGGGAGTGGGAAGTGGGGGCATCACCGAAGTTGATTTTCCAGCAGGAGAGCCAGCAGCCAGCAGGGAATTCCTGCTTTTGTGGCTCCTGGCAGCTGCTCCCCTTGCCCAGGGACACCTCCCACTGTCCCAGGGTGCTCCAAACCCAATCCCACCCAACCTCTGGGCACTTCCAGGGATGGAGCAGCCACAGCTGCTCTGGGAATTCCATTCCAGGACCTCCCCCCCGCCCCAGAGAGATTTCTTCCCAAAATCCCATCTGAATCCCCTGCCAGGCTCCCTCTGAGCCCGGAGGGCACCTCTGCCCATCCAGGGGTTAATCCTGCCCCTTCTCCAGGGGGAAAACTGGAAAATATGGAATTTTTTCCCTGAGAACCCCCGAGCCCAGGCTTTTGGCAGCCTCCCCTGCCGTGCAAACCCCAAATCCTGCAAAGAGGAGCAGCCCAGGCACGTTGCCTGCACCCCGGGGCAGCCTTCTCCCCCTCACCTCGGTGAAATTCAAACATTCCTGAGCAATCCAGCTGGAAACCCCCCCAAACCCAGCCGAAAACCCTCCTGCAGCAGCTGAATGCCAGCCCTGACCCTGCCGGGGTCTCAGGAGGATCAAACACCAGCCCAGGCCACAGCAGAGGGGGAAAAAGAACTTTGCATTTAAAGCTCAAGAACTGCCAGCTCTGTGGGCAGGCCCAGAGCAGCAGCCTGGCCACAGACATCCTTTAACCACATGGAAAATAACTTTTGGTGCAGTTTGCAAAGCGCTGGGACCCGGATGACAAAAATAAAAATAAAAAAAGAAATGTATTAAAGGATCCATTCTGCTTTAGGTGCTCCTGATGTGGGGCGAGCCCTGTGCCTTCAAAGGCTCCAGCTGGGCTGGGGGGCAGCCAGCAGCAGCCTGGGCTGCTGGCCTGCACAAACAACCCCCAAAAAAGAGATTTTCATTTCTTAAGAAGCCACATAAACCAGTCTGAGCTAATTAAAGGGGCCTGGGTGTGAAAGAGCAACTGCAAAGCC